ATTCATCTCGCCCAGTCACCACAATCCTGTTCTCAAAAACTCACACACATAGTTACGCAAGAATTTATTCTTGGCACGTGAACAAATAGTTCTGTGACAATAAAAAAGAAGTTTAGGCAGTTTTGAGCTTCCACTGTTTTTGGCTCTGTACTTCCACTCACATTTTAAGTGGCTCCTTGTTGCTGTCTTGCTTGTCGAAGACGGAGCGCACACACTTAAAGATGGGTCAGCTAGATTTAGCAATAGTTCAGCCAAAATGAAAATTCTGTCATCATTTACTCACCCTCAAGCACAAAAAAGGATATTTTGAAGAATGTTGGTAACAGTTGACAGTAGCCATTGACTTCCATGGTATGGAAAATAAATACTATGGAAGTCAATGGCTACCGTCAACCGTCTGGTTACCAACATTCTTCTACATATCTTCTTTTGTGCTTGAGGGTGAGTAAATGATGACAGAATTTTCATTTTTGGGTGAGTTATCCCTTTATGTATATTAAGTACAAGTATGGCGATTTTGTTGCAACATGAACGTCTTGTCACAGACTTAAAACAATAAAAGTTTAACAACATTTGGTCTTGTAGAATGTGCTATAGGCTTTATTCTTATTATTAAACAGGTATATGTTTGCAGATCTTACCAGCCTCCAGATATGTGGGTGGTGGTCCTGGTACATGGTTGTCCCAGAGTTGGTCCAGTCGGAATGGGTTGCAATCCATAAGCTGGGAGAAGGTTATTAGCCTGGTAAGGTGAGTACTGACTGCCCTGTGAATGGTATTGTGCAATCATGACGGTAATTCTTGACACCGTATGTTCTACAAAAGATGAATCAAAAGGCAGCATTTAATATGAACAAAACCCACATGCAGCTCTTTGTACACAAATACTGACACTTATGCATACGCTTTCTCATTCTTTTACTCAGGCAGCAGGAGATGAACACAACAAAGGCCATCACGAAAAACACTATGGTCACAATGATGTTTTCCATTCGATGGGGAGAGTGACTTTAATATTTTAAGGTTTTGCTTCTGGACAGATTAGGGAAAATAAACATTAGAAACATTAGAAATTGAGTGTTACAGGTTTCAAACAACCAATTCAGTCTTTGAATAACAAGCATTGGACCAATTTGCACTCAGTGTTGGTTTATCAGAATAAAATGTATTATTCTGATATTTAAATAAAAAATTATCAGAATTACTACACGAGTTACAGCTAGTGAGGTTCGTCCTCAATTTTCCTTATAAAAGACATACATTTTTCTGCATCCTTGGTAATTTTTTTAAAAAACGCGCAGAAAAAAAATCTACCTACTTCCGTCCATCGGTTCTTACAAATAATCTACTAAAATTAACTAAAATTCTAAATTTTGACATCAAGACGGCTCTCTGTTCAATAAACTGGATCATTATGAGTCGGATCTTGAGTCGAATTGATGAACAAATCAGTCAGACCATTTTTGTTAGCCAGTTCGATTGAGTCCCGACTCAAAGCAAAGATTCGTTCAGGAATCGAGCTTAGCTAACATGTTTAGTGTAGCCTAGATGTTAAAGTTTATAAGTAATAATAATACTCACGTTTCATGTCTTTATAGTTTCTAAATAATTGGCAAGCAATATTTAAGGGTTTTAGGACTGAAAACAGCAATTATACACTCGCAATACTTTGAAAAACGATGCGTATATGACAAATGGAAAGCTTTGAAAACATCTAGAACATACATTAGTAAAATAAATCCTGAAACGTGTGACATCCATGCTGTATTCGTAGTTAAGTAACACTTTAAGAAAAGTCCGTAAAATAGGGCATAATGTAGCGATTGTGTTAATGTGAAGAAAAATTTCGTATTGGTTCTTCACGGGTGTTTTACCTGTATTTTTAATTACGCATTGCATTGTGATTTAGAGTTAAATGTTAAATGTTAAAATTGTAAATGCGGATGACGTCCTTGGCAGAAATTGACCAGTATCTTTTCCATTTTTCTACAGATTTTTTTTCCCCCTGTTTATTGAACTTTTACAATAATAACGGGATACAGATACAGGAGAATCGTGAAAAAATATTTTTACAGATTTTTTTTTATGCAGTGCTTACCAATTTGATTAAGCAAACAATTAGACACTTACCTACGGTCACCGCGAATAAAACTGCAGTAAAGAGCAGAAGAACAGTATTGTTGTAGGCATAGCAGCTCTTCCCCTTTAAGAGCTTGTTTCGTGCTGCTCGTGTATTTCCGGAGACTGCAGAACCAATTAAACCAGGTTTTTCTTGCTGTTGTAACTCAAACAATCCTGGTTAGTGGCTGTTGTGCAAATTCAAGTGTTTAAAGCTGCAGTCCGTAAGTTTTGCCTCTTTGTCGCCATCTCTGTTTGAAAACCTGCAATTGCAGCTGTTTGCGGAATTCTTCCTTGCGTGGGTTGTGCACGGCTCCAGCGCGGATGAATCTAATGTTTTGAGGAGTGTGTGTGGCAGTCAGTCACTGCAACGGTGTGGATGTTTACTGTACTTCGCTATCAAAGATTCTAGCCTACGTCTTGGAATATATGACCCAAATAGGAATTTTCACCGCATATTGTCATCTGAACAAGTAACAGGTCTGCCACGTTTGTTCGGACCAACTGAGGAAAAAAGCATTACAAGAAATCGCGCTACCAATGGTGATTTAATCTAAAGATCGGTTAGCTCATATCACATCAAACCGTGCAAATTATTATTATTGTTATACTTTATTCTCAAATTGTTAATGTTAACAACATCAGCATTATGTGACTATGTGAATATAGTGTGTATTAACGTGTAGATTTCAATTTCAGTACAGTCTAATCTCTAATTGTCATACCACTCGAATTTCATATTAAGAAATAATTTTAACCCAAAAAGCAAATTATGCTCCCTTTGAACTGGTTGTCTTTAAAATACAAATCTTGTGTAATCCCAGGCTATTAATACCAGGTTTAATAAACACACAGTCCTTTCTGGATTACAATCCGCCATTAAAATGATACATATGTTATTCCAGCTGCTGTGAGAAAAGGCTATAAACGATCCGCCACCTGCAGGATCCTCACATGCGATAGCCTAGTAGTCGGGACAACTTCTTTATGTTTACAGAAGTGACATAATGACGCAGCAGCATGCTCAAATTTCCCGCGAAAACCTACCCGTACCACTCAAATTAGAAAACATTATTATAAGATAACCGTTGTGAGTCGGACTAAAGTAAGGCGATAGATTTGAACACTGGCTGGTTATGTACTTGCTCAAATATTGATTTTGGATCATTTTTAACCAAAACAAGTTACGGACTGCAGCTTTAAAGCAAGTATAAACAACAATGGTGAATAAGAGAGCATAAATATGGCAATACTAATTGTATTAGTTTGTATTCTCAGCGACATTGTAGGATAGTGTCCACAGTAGCTGCACAATTTACAAAAGCAACGCAGAAATGCATGTGGATATTTACTGTACTTCGCAATCACAGATTCTAGACTACGTCTTGGAATATGACACAAATAAGAATTTTCACCGTATATTGCCATCTGAACAAGTAAGTAACATGTCTGCCACGTTTGTTCTGACCAACTGAGGAAAAAAGCATTACGATAAATCTCGCTACCAATGGTGATTAAATCTAAAGATCGGTTAGCTCATATCTCACCAAACCGCTCAAATTATTATTATTGTTATACTTTATTCTCAAATTGTTAATGTTAACAACATCAGCATTATGTGACTATGTGAATATAGTGTGTATTAACGTGTAGATTTCAATTTCAGTACAGTCTAATCTCTAATTGTCATACCACTCGAATTTCATATTAAGAAATAATTTTAACCCAAAAAGCAAATTATGCTCCCTTTGAACTGGTTGTCTTTAAAATACAAATCTTGTGTAATCCCAGGCTATTAATACCAGGTTTAATAAACACACAGTCCTTTCTGGATTACAATCCGCCATTAAAATGATACATATGTTATTCCAGCTGCTGTGAGAAAAGGCTATAAACGATCCGCCACCTGCAGGATCCTCACATGCGATAGCCTAGTAGTCGGGACAACTTCTTTATGTTTACAGAAGTGACATAATGACGCAGCAGCATGCTCAAATTTCCCGCGAAAACCTACCCGTACCACTCAAATTAGAAAACATTATTATAAGATAACCGTTGTGAGTCGGACTAAAGTAAGGCGATAGATTTGAACACTGGCTGGTTATGTACTTGCTCAAATATTGATTTTGGATCATTTTTAACCAAAACAAGTTACGGACTGCAGCTTTAAAGCAAGTATAAACAACAATGGTGAATAAGAGAGCATAAATATGGCAATACTAATTGTATTAGTTTGTATTCTCAGCGACATTGTAGGATAGTGTCCACAGTAGCTGCACAATTTACAAAAGCAACGCAGAAATGCATAACCCTCCATGATCCAGCAGTTTTGGTTTAGTTACTGGTCTTGACCAACTGAACTGGTGCAATCTGTGATTCCAAGTAAGCTGGGTTGTACACTGGTTGAGGTGAGGTATAGTCTGTTGGCAGCGATGACTGTAGAGGGTACATGGCCTGACCACCATCATACGCAACCTGGATGGGAACAGGATGCCCTGGACCTACTGGAAAACAAAGACAGCAATCATTTTGATGGTTTGCCATCTTGGCTCAAATAGTCTTGGTCATCTTGTTTGCAGATCTTACCAGCCTCCTGATATGAGCGTGGTGGTCCAGTTGGCATCGGTTGGCCTCCGTAAGGTGGGTTATTTGGCAAAGCCTGGTACGGAAGGTACCAACCGCCCTGAACGACAGCTGAAGGCTGCGGATTGTGTCGTCACGACTGTAGATGTTGTAGTCACAGCTGCGTGAAGAATCAAAGGTGGAGCAAGGTTGGGAGGAGGTTTTAAAAACATTCTGCCATTTTGACGTATAAACATTGACACTTACGTCTAGGACTTCTGAATCTCTTATAGAGACAGCAGCATGGACAGACCCAGCAGATGATGAACAAAATGATGATGACTCCAATCCCTAGTATGGAGGCGCAGACGGCAATAGAAACAGCGTCAATAGCGTTTTGGACAGATAATGGAGAAGAAATGCAGTAATAGGTTACAAATGGAGATAAAATCTGTTTCAGCCATTGATTTGTGTGTAAACAGAGCCTAAGATTCAGCTGTGATTGTATTCGACATGTTCACTAGACAAATCCTTTGTCGTCTTGGGACTGTATAGGGAAATGATTGCAAAAAGGTATTTCCTCTAGGGTTCCTGTTCTCTCAATCTCACAAAATAATGGCAGCTCTATCCAAAATTTTGTTTGATGGCGCTCTATTATGTATAAATCTACTTGCTTGTACCAAAAATTAACCATTTATACAAACATTTTCATATAAATAACAAGATTAATTCACTTTAAGTTCCATATGGAATTTTTCATATATTTTTTTTAAATGGTGTTTGTATTTAGTATTAGTAGTTAGTGTCTACAAACTAAACAGATTGGTTGTGCATGATTCTAACAATCTGGTTAGAAAATATTATAAATTATCGCAAAATGATCAGAATAAATACCCAGTGGTAACAGCTGGTGAGGGAGAAATGTATAACACTTAGCTCTGATTTATATGAAGAAAGAAAAAAGTCATTCCTTACAAAAGACAGTCACTTTGTTCTTCAATGGTCAACCTTTTTTTGTGGATCAGAGCAGCAGTAGTTCTCATCACAGGTCCCACAGCAGAACTCACACACTACAGCCGCAAATCTCAAAGCCTAAACAAATAAAACAGAGGAAATGTGAGCCATTTTAAAAGTAATTCCATTTTTGAACCTTTGTTTGTTATGAATCACTTGTTTTGGAGTAAAGCACCACTGTTCATGTTAAATGTTTCAGAGACAATCTAGAAACACCCTTTAACCACATTTAAATCAGATTAATAATCGTTTTGACCAATATTTTGCCAATATTAAAACTTTTCTGTTTAGTCAGTTATTGGTTGTATTGTATAAGCAACTCAGCAGCCATTCAGTATTTTATTTCCAGTAATTTATTAACGAGAAAAACAAGAAAAGTCTTGCACACACACAATATATTAGCATTTTAATGACAAAAACAACAAACGTGTGAAAAAAAAAAAAACTACTGCATGTAAACACATTTTAAAAATCTGACTCGGTTCTTTCAAAGAATATAATTTGCATTTACATTAAACACTAAAATTCAATACTAATATTCATTCAAGGGTCTGACATGTCCAAATGACATATGTCCCCATTTTTTGTGAATCGGTTCAACTGATTCATTAAAAAGATTTGACTGAAATGAACACTTCGTTCAAGGATCTAACATCTTTACTTGTTTGAAATATTACTGGTCATATTACAGTTTAAGCACCATAAACAATTTGATCATTAATAACAATAGGGAAACATTTATAACAGAAGGGACTCACTTGGTGAGCAAAAAACATGTCATTAACAATCTCGTCATCGATAACAGAGGTTTCATCCACCAGCGTGGAGACTTTACGTCGAGATCTTCGCTCCTCGATCCACTTGAAGAGGAAGATGAAGCCATATACAGGACTGAGAGGAAGAAAAGGACAGGACAGCTTCAGAATAATCAAATAAACAATAAAATATTATAGACCGATAGATAGAATTATAAAATCAAATTAAAAGTGAAATATATGTTAACAAAAACCATTTATAATTAATATTTAAATTATTAGGAAATTAATATTACTTAATAAATATAATATATAGACTTAAAATTTACAAATATATATATATTAATATTTAAAATGTTATACAATTCATTTTATATTATTAATTATTGTTTTATAAATAAAAATACACATACAGCTTAAAATGGCAAAAGGTAAATTGTGTGATAAAATATTATACATTTAGATATATATATATATAGGTAGATAGAATTATGAAAATAAATAAAAATATGAAATATTTAAATTATTAATATTATTATGAAATTAATAGTACATTATAAATATAAAAATACGGGCTTAAAACGACCAAATGTAATTGTGATAAAAATGTATACACAAACCAAAATAATACTATATACAATTATTTAAATGATTAATAATGTTAACAAATTAAGCTCAAAGACTTAAAAATGACAAAAAGTAAAAGTGTGTGATGAATCCACCTTTGACATTTGCTCTGAAGATCATAGATCTCCTCCACCTGAACGCCCTTCACACCTGCGTCCAAACATAAGCAATATACATCACTCTTCCCATATTTATTCATTCACAGATGCTTTTATTCAAAGTGTCTAACTCCATCTAATAAGAATAAAACCCTTTCATCACATTCAGACTCCATCACTCATATTCAGATCGTAACTGACACATTAAAAGCATGACTGTGCCAAACAGATCAACTCACCAAAGTCCTCCACCAAGAGTGTGAACAACCCTGAAACAGAACGAGACATCAGAAAACAGACAGTATCATAACTAACGCTTTTATATGAGATAAAGTGTCACGTTATGAGTGCCTTGACTGTTATGCATTCAACTCAAAGCCCAGCAAATGCAACTGCTATATTGCGAGATGACATGTTAACTTACAGCACATTTTATGAATAATAAAATAATTATTGATGAATAGTTAATGGTATTATATGCATAAATGTTTATTTAGAGACTCACCCGGGTCACTTTCTAACTCCAGCCAACCTTTGTTCATTTTTGCTGAAATCAGAGTCGCCAAAACTCTCCACTAAATCATCGACCAGTCCATAATATTATAAAGAACTGCATCAATCATTTCCTAGTACATATTTGATCCATCTTTGGACGGTATGGACAGCTAGTAAAAACAATAGAGAGCAGCGCCGTCGACTGTAGTTGACGTCATTCCGCTGCGCCGTGCGTCATGACGTATTACGTCGACGACGCGCTGTGCTGCAGTGAAGTTAAAGGCAGATTATTGACATGATAAACAGTTTATTTATTCGCTTATTGCTTTTTTTTTGGGGTGTACCTGTATGTGGTTGTCCTATATCTCTATCTAAACCGTTTATGTGGGATATTATTTATGCCTAAACATCACTGTACATAATTTTTTGTTCAAGTATATTTCAACAAGTGATTTGTAGTTACTGAATACTTATAGTGCATAAGGCAAATTCAGTTTGAGACATTTACTATAATATGTAATAACATCTATATAGTTTAGCATAATAATAAACAAATGAATAATTATAAAGGCTAGACACAGGTACTTTTTGTTTTTTTGTCTTAAGCTAGATTTTAAAAGTCTTGGATCTTGCACAATAAGAAACCTTTTCTAAAAGCACTGCTATTTTGTAACATGCCATAAAATGCTTCCTAATTCTATAATAAGTTACATAACCTGAATAGCATGCGCTTTAAATATATTATTATATTGAAATAATTTTAATGCATTCAAATATTAGATTTGCTATATATTAGATATTATATTTTTTAATTATATACAAATATTGTCATATTTAATATTCAAAAATAATAAAATATTATAAAGATATGTGCTAAGATGCAACATGTTAAAGTCAAAAGGCTTTGTAAACAAAGTATGATAATGAATGAAGGTACATATTATTACATTATAAATGACAAAATAATATTATATTGCAATAATACAGTCTAAAAAATGCAACAGCAACAAAAAATAGTTCAGGATTGTATAGAATAATATGATACATTACTCAAAGCATATATTATTACCTTCTAGATTATATCATTATATACATTAATAATTATAATCAAGTAAAAAGTCAAAGTCATCTAGATGGATTTGGGGAATTTAATTGTACATAACCTTTTCTTGAACTTTGCTGTTTTATAACATGCTATGAACTGCTTCTAATTATATAATAAGTTATATAACATACAAGAACTCATGATCAATAATTTATTTTAATGCAACTAAATATTTTACATATAGCCTATATCATAAACAATTATTTTAAATGATAAAAAATAATTTTATAAAATTAATATTAATATAAATAATATTTTTAATTATATAAGAACAATTATATACAGTGTATATATATATATATAAGTAAAATAAAATATTTTAAATATTTTACTTTAATGATAGAATATATTACTACATTATAATTGACAAAATAGTATATTATCTATATTATATTTGTGCCATTAATACAACCTTTACATAAACATTGCTGTTTTATAACATTTCGCCTATCATGAAACGTATGCTTATTATATAATAAGTTATATAATACTGTATGTGTAGCCTATCATGTGTATAAAACATGTCACATTACATATACTATTTTATATTTATGCAATGATTTGATATAATACTTAAAACAACCAAATGTATGAAAACTATAAAGATACATGCCAAACGACTAGAAAAAAAAAAGATGAAAGTAAGGCAAGGTCTTGTCTCGAACTTCCTTTTGTAAGTCATCTGTCTGGATTATTCCAGGCATTTACACAACACGCCACCTCGGTGTATTTACTTTTATGCAACCCCGAGTGATTATGAAACACTTCAGTGACATTCAGCTCCCCGGACCGTATGAAGAGCGGAACCTTCAGACGGAGTCCGTGCGCCTCGGGGGACGTTTGAGGTCGGTGCTCCTGCACAATTGATAGATAAAATAAAAGAATCCGTGAGTACTACACAATTTAATAGTAATAATTTAAAGAATCGCAGCACAGCCGGGAGATCCTAACAAGGGTGTAAAAAGGTAAGACGCTGGTTTACCGCCACACACGCCTGTTTAAGCGGCGATAATGCGTTTTATTAGTTATATGAGCACAGTTAGCGCGGAAGCTAACGTCAACAAAAGAGCATCGCCGCCCGTGCTAACGCGCTAACAGCTAGCGCGCTCGGTAGGCTTCAAACAATGAGGCGTTTTATACACCACGCATATAAGACGGTACAAAACATCTGGATATGCGTATTTAAAGAGGGTTGGTGGTCGTTTCGTGGATGTTAGGTGAGTTTTCCGGCTGGTTGTTCGTCTTTTAGCAGCGCCGCTGGTCACCAAGTACAGTTATGTAAAGGTGCCTCATTCAGTTCAGTCCACAGAAGCGCTTTAAAACACTCTTATGTGATGTGTCGAAGTAGGATAATATACTTCTGGTGTGGTGGCATGTGTGGATTTGTGTTTGTGGCGAGCGCAGCTGCAGAATAATCGACCTGAGCTTCAGTTTCATGTCTTTTAATGGAAAAGATGCGCTTTATTGAAGTTTAACGTGTTCCTGTTGTTGTTTTCGATGTTAATCACAATGTAATACTCGAGGTCAACCGGTTTGTGTGGAACTGTATTTCAATACATATATACAGGCAAACACGTATGTACATATACTTTGATTGAAAGTCACTGATTTCTACTGTTTTTGTTGGAACAGCTGCAAAAACCTTAAAGTAATAGTTCACCCAAAAATCTGTCATCATTTACTGTCCCTTCATGTCATTTCCAAACCTTATTACTGTCTTCTGTCAAATATATAATATTTATATTGATATTTTTGTCATATATAATATTTTTTTCTTGTACATATTTTGTATATATGTATGTGTGTGTGTGTGTGTGTGTAACTAATTATATAATTAAAATACAATTATATACATATTAAATTACATATGTGAACTAAATTATATGTGTATAAATTTATAAAAAATATGTATATAAATATAAATTTTTACATATATAATTATATTTTATTATGAAGTTATGTATATATTATGACACTTATACAGAAAATACAAAATAAAAATAGTCTGCTATGACTTAAGTGTGTGTGTGTATATATATATATATATATATATATGTGTAAAAAATTGTGGTAATTTTTACACGCGCGCACACGCTCATATATATAATTGCTTAATAGTGCTATATATGTCATGAATCAAACATATACAGAAAACACATTATAAAAATTGTCTGCTATGACTTAAGTGTGTATGTATATATAAAATTTGTAAAATATATATATATATGTATAGTTGTGGCGCTTATGTATATATAGCACTTAATAGTGCTATATATGTCATGAATCAAACATGTACAGAAAACGCATTATAAATATAGTCTGTATGACTGGGAGACTGAAGGCTTGAGTCATGTAGGCCCTTTTTTATGACTCTTTCGTGGTGTTTTTTAAAAAAAATTTAATTTTTGGTGCTTGACATCATCCAACCTCATTCACTTTCATTGTACGGACAAATTTATCCAGAACAACGACATAATTCCTTTCTTTTGTGTTTCACGGAGACTGAAAAATGATACGGTTTATTTAGACAGCCGGAGATCTCGCTTAAAGTTTCCGCCTGTCCAAAATCAATAAGCGGACACGGGCGCTGGATGAGGCAGGTGCGGTGTGAAGGTGCGGGACGGAGAGGATGAGTGTGGTTTGGAACAAGCTGTGCTGTACTGTGTGAATGTGTCAGTGTGTCACGGGCTGCGAGCGTGGCCTACATTCACACCGCTCACTGCTTTCTCTTATATAACCCGCACTTATGTAAGAAGCCTGAATCTCTCGCTCCCTGTCCTCCCTCTTCTGTTTTTTTCTTCTTCTAGTTCTTTCTGTTTCTTCTCTTTAACATTTTTTTGATGAGTTCTTTAGTGGCTCTTTGTTCTCCTATTGTTCTCTAAATAGTATTACAAATCAAAATGGACTGTTTTCAATTTTAATATATTTAAAGGGGTCATATGATGTTGCTAAAAAGTACATTATTTTGTGTGTTTGGTGTAATGATTTTGGAAGACCAAACAAAGTAGTTTCGCTTTCACAACGAATCACACAGCGCCTTCACGACATGGCGGCGGTGGCAACAACAATACTACAGCAAGAATAAAAGTTACGCCTTCTTTCTTTGCATGAAGACGTGGGAAGATTTGCATAACGCGGCCCAAATGGTGAGGTAGATATGTGGGGGCGTGTTAGAACGAGCCGTTTTAGGTAGGCGTGGTTGACTCTTAACTTTTATAAAGAATATCTCTTTGGATTTGAGACTTTAGTCTTTGCAACTTTACAGATCTTCTTTATGCACCAAGAGCTTGTAACACTCCAAAGTTGTGTTTTGCTTCATATTTCTGTGGAAATTGTGATGCACTTTTTTCAGGATTGTTAGATGAATAGAAAGTTCAAAAGAGCTGCATTTATTTGAAATAGAAATCTTTTGTAATGTTACAAATGTCTTTACTGTCACCTTTGATCGACTTAATGCATCCTTGCTGAATAAAAATATAATTTTTTCTCCAAAAACATCTTACCAACCCCAAACGTTTTTTCCACTGTATTTGTTCTTCAGGTGGTCTGAATGAAGATGTGTAAGTAATGCTCTTGGAGACCCAGGGGACACCATGTCAGAAGAGGCGATCTCAGGGAGTGACCTGGAGCCCAGCCTTAACAGCGAGGAGGAAGAGGAGATGGAGGAGGAAGAGGATGGAGAGAACGATGGGGATGATGAGGAAGACATGGGCGGTGGGCACATTTTTTTAGTTCATACTGTCTTTTCTAACCATTATCTTTCTCATCTAACACCTGTTTGAGTTTGAAGATGCATTGATTAAGGATGGCCCTATGATTTCGGCGATGTGGAAAACGTGGAATCCAGTCATAAAAACGGAATTTACTGTAAAACGCGGAATGTCACGGAATTTGTCAAAGTTTGGATGAATTATCTACTGAAGTATTCTTCAGTAGAATGTATGTACTGTACTACTACTACTTCGATTAAAATTATAAAAAAATATGTTTTTTAAGGAATAATCACACAATATTTTTTTCCATGTTTTAATTTTAATAGTAAATCCCCTTTGTTTGCCAAAAAAATTTAGTTTGTTGAATTTTCATTAAAGCTTCAGTCCGTAACTTTTTTTGTTTAAAAATGATCGAAAATAAATTTGAGCAAGTACATAACCAATCAGTGTTCAAAACTATCTGCTTACCTTAGCCCGATTCACACCTGTAAGCTTGTAATAATGTGTTCTAGTTTGAGTGATACTGGTAGGTTTCTGCAGGAAATACGAGCTTGCCGCCATTCGTCTTTGCGTCATTACGTCACGTCTGTATACATAAAGGAGGAGTCGCGGCTAGTATATATCACATGTGTGGATGCTGCAGGTGGCAGATCACTTAATATTGAATCCAGAAAGGTCCAAACGATTTATTTCTATGAAATTCAAATGGTATGACAATTAGAGATTAGACTGTACAGAAATTGAAATCTACAGATAATGCTATTACACACTAAATACACGTAGTTACGCAATGCTGGTGTTGTTAACATTAACAATTTGAGAACGAAGTATAACAAAAATAATTTGCACGGTTTGACGTGATCTGTGCTAATTTTGCGAGATATAATCAGCATTGGTAGCGCGATTTATTGTAATGCTTTTTTTTTTTTCTCAGTTGTTCAGAACAAAAGTGTCAGACATGTGAATATTCTTATTTGGTTCATACTTCCAAGACGTAGTATCTGTAATTGAGAAGTACAGTGAATATCCACACTGGTGCCACACCTACGCCTCAAAACATTAGATTCATCCGTGCTGAGGAGCCGTGCCGATGCACAACACAGAATTTCTGAGGAGAAAAAAAAAACTATTCATAAGGCTATTGTAAGAATAAATAGTTTTTATGCATTCAAATAATTAGATGGGCTAAACACAGATTTGGTAACAATAAAGCATAAGGTGATAATTAAAGTTGATTAATTAGACATGCTTGTTGATTGCTAAAATGTAATTTAACCATTAAAAAGTCCAGAAAAATTAAAACGGAAAAGAAACGGAATTTGGAAAAAAAAAAATAAAGCTGATTTCATAGGGCCCTAATTAAGGCATGTTTATATGAAGTTAAAAGCATCAGGCTTCTGTCTGGCATCGCCGCTAATGTGTGCGCTCAGCTTTCAGTCTGTGAATCAATTATTGATTGCTTGGTATTTCCTCTCAACAGACCAGCTTGAGAGCCTGGAGGCCAAGGATCAAAGAGATCTGACCAGCCCGGCACCTACCTCACCGATGTCTAGAGACTCCAGCCCTGAGCCCTCATCCCGACCCTCGTCCACCTCTCAGACGTCATCACGGCCCGGCTCTCAACCCCCATCCAGCCCAGACAGCCGCAGCAACGCGTCTGCCAACAGCAACACCAAGAAGTCGTCGTCCAAAACCTCTAAACCTGCTCACTTGAGGAGGAACATCCGGTATTCAGCTTGATTTAATGATTATGCATTAGTTCCTGCCCACTTTTTTTTTAGCGGCATCAAATCCAGAAGTATTATTTTTTTCCTTCATTTTTCAAAAAGTTTTCATTAAATCATTATAAACCATGCTGCAAAGTGAATCACAACATTACAAACTTTGATTTGAAGCAATAAAGTAATAAAGCAATAAAAACAAAAAATAAAAGTACAAGACTGTGGACTTAACAGCTTTAATGAGTGAAAGAACTACAATCCCATGAAGCATTGTGAATCATGTAATTGAATAAAAAACTGGTGAAATATAAAACATTAATTTAAAGTTGTTGAATATATCTGTAGAAACCAAATCGTTTTAGATCAGACACTACAGACAAAAGCATTATTATTATTTTTTTCTTCAGTTTTGTGTTTTTGGTTTATTTGGCTTTTCATAACATGTTGTTCCAAACTAGTGTAAAGAAGATATTCAAGATACACTTTTGAGAGTTTATTTTATTGCAGTTTATCTATTTGAGTCTGTAGATTTCAGTTACAATACATAAAATCTAAAGGTGTTTTTAAAAAATAAACTTTTTTCCTCCGCTCCAGTAGCACTTACATACACCAAAACTTACACTTTTATCCCCATCTGTATTCTGAAGGATTTTACTGAGGGGTTTGCTCATATGTCATTTGCTTGGGTTTTATAGAACACTTTACTCCTAAAAACATGGTTAAAATGTATATTATAGCTGTTGACAGTATTTTGTGATTTATGGAGTGATAAATAGAGCTATCCAAATTCCTCTGTGAAAACCTTTCAGTAAAACTAAACCTCTATTTTGAACCTAGCTTTGCCCAACATTCTGGAAAACATATGCAAATGAGTGCAAATTTAATTACATATAGCTTAATTTGTGTATTTAAACATTTCAGAAAATCTGTAATACAAAAAATGCTTGCGATTCTCAATATAATCAATTAACTATTTTTACAGCATAGCATCGCTCTCTGATTGGTGGAATTTTCTGTATAGCATAATGGGTAATGTAGTTTTCACCACATATTCAGCTGTTAAACATGATTATTTTAATTTAGTCTAAATATTGCAAATAGATGGCTTCAAAAGCATTAAAGGGGTCATATGACATTACTAAAAAGAAACATTATGTTGTGTATTTGGTGTAATGCAATGTGTTTATGCGGTTTAAGGTTAAAAAAACACATTATTTTCCACATAATGTACATTATTGTTGCTCCTCTATGCCCCGCCTTTCTGAAAGGCATCGATTTTTACAAAGCTCATCGGTCTGAAAGCGAGGTGTGCTGTGATTGGCCGAATACCTCAAGCGTGCGACGGAATTGTTACCATATTTTGATGCCGTGTCCCTGAGCGATCAGACAAAAACATTCAAACCCATTATAAACGAGGCATTTGTTGCATCCAGTGAGGACATAATTACTGATTATAGGGCCTTTCGCACCGCTTTAGTTCCAGAACTAAAAGTACAGTACTAAAGTACTGGGACGATTTTGCGGGAACTATTTCCCAGTACCATTTAAAGGGTTGCAGTCGCACCGACAGTGTGTACTAAGAAGTGACGTCATTTGTGCGTGGCGTTCAACAACAGAAATCATTAACATTAAACATATGTAATTAATGATATTTATATACAATTACTTATTTTTAGTAAACATTTATTATTGTTTGCATATAGTTTTTGTAATTATTATTTAATATGCATTATAATACATGTTTAATATTAACAATAAATATAAATAATTTTATTTTTGTCCGTGTAAAATATTATGTGATGCATGTTTGTTTAAAATGTAATCATTTTTGTTATATTTATAAACAACATTTAATAACATTTATTTACGTATTATTTAAAAAGTCATTATTTATTTGTTTGTTTAATATATTAATATATTTGTGCTTAATAATAGCAATAATATATATGTAAATTATCATGAATGTTTATTTACGTTTGTTAAATATTATTATTTACATTATTTACATATGCGTTTTATTAAATATTCATCATGTTTCTTGAGATTACTGTGTGTGTGTGTGTGTGTGTGTGGCTATATAGATTTTGTTTATAAAACCTAAAGGAGAGCAGCGGGTCTCATGTGAACGACAGCCTCAATCAACCAGACGCCCAGGGAAGGGTGCTGGTCAATATCAATCATCCTGGAGACGAGGAGGACCTGTTCCTTGCCCCGCAGCTCGCCCGCGCTGTTAAACCACACCAGGTACCCGCTGTGCTGCTTTGTATATATATATATATATATAATTGCTGTATTTAAATCCATTATTATTCAAGATTAAATAGTTATTACCTAATTATTATATAAGAGCAAATGTATTAGTAAATTAATTACAAAATTACATAATAATTAAGTTAATGTTAATAAAACAATATAATATGTCCATTAATATATTCACATATAATCATATAATTTATGCTTTAATTTAAGGTGATTAAAAAAAAATAATAATTGTATGAAAGTAATGAGAATCACCATTGACAATGTGAACACAGTGTTCGTTTTTATTTACATATATTATTGTAATAGATGATTATTATAATTATTTTTTATTTACACATATTATTGTAATAGATGCTTATTATAATTATTATTAAATTACTCAAAGGTTATTATAATAATCAACATATTTTAATAAATATTCAATAATTTTAATAATAAGGGGCATATATATAAAATATATAATTTACATATGACAAATTACACAATATATGGTCATTCAATATTTGTATTATTAAATCTTTATTATTTACATGTTATGTTATTATAACTGATTATAATAAATGTCTAATAATATTAATGATAATAACAAAACAATTAATTATTTTTTACTTATATTTGTTATATGTAGTTGTATGATACATTTACATATATTTATTATAATAAGAATTATTTGTTAATTACAAAAAAAAACATTGGATATGAAACACATTACAGTAATGAATTTGGAGAGAAAATGTGCTTAATTGTCATAAATTACAATTAAGACTTGGTCTCAAATAAAACTGTAGCCTTACTCGAGAATAGGCTAGATATAATTTATGCAAAATATAATCCTTTATTAAATTTTAAGTTACTTTTTTTTAAATTTAGTTTTCGTGAGATTTACCCGCAAAATGACAAATATAATCTCTCACAATATGTTTGGGATCCTTGTTAGATTAGAGTGTTAGTGATGATCTGTAGTTCAGCAGCTAATGGTGCTAGCAATGGCAAGGATCACACATACTGATAAAATTCATAGCTTAAATTCACTGCAAGTGGCTTTTTTAGCATCTGCTGAAACATTAAATGTATTCCTCGCATCTGGTCCAGAACCACGGTGGCCCGGGCCAAGGTGGTGGAGGACTGGACTCGTGACGGTGGGGTGCTGCTAATGGGGTACGAGATGTACCGCCTACTGTCTCTCAAAAAGAGCTTTGTGACCGGCCGCAAGAGGAAGACCAAGAAACCCGCGGGACCTGTAATTATCGACCTGGATGAGGAGGACCGTCAGCAGGAGCTCATGAAAGGTCTGTCGGGGATTTGCGGGTGAAAAATGTTTACTCTGGTTATGGTCTATACTGAACTTCCGTGTGTCCTGTGATCTTCAGGGATTGAAAGAGCGCTGTCGCGACCCGGTCCGGATGTCGTCATATGTGATGAGGGCCACCGTATCAAAAACTGCCACGCCAGCACCTCGCAGGCCCTGAAGAACATCCGGTCGCGGCGGCGGGTGGTTCTGACCGGATACCCGCTGCAAAATAACCTGACCGAGTACTGGTGCATGGTGGATTTCGTCCGGCCCGATTTCCTCGGGACGCGGCAGGAGTTCAGTAACATGTTTGAGCGGCCCATTCTGAACGGCCAGTGTATAGACAGCACGCCGCAGGACGTCCAGCTCATGAGATACAGGAGTCACGTCCTGCACAGTCTGCTGGAGGGCTTCGTGCAAAGGTGAGTAATTATTATGAAATATTTATTATTATTATTTATTTAATTTTTTTGAAAAGGGACCATGTACAATTAAACATAAATGTGTCCATTTCATGCCTTGTACTACTTATTAATTTTGTCATTTTTATTATTATCGAGTATTAATATTACATTTTCTTATTAAATATTTATATTTACTTGTTATTGTTAATAAAATACTATATTAATTGTATTAATGTCTATTAATATACATACTTTTGTAATTTGTTCAGAGTTATAGTAATTAAAATAAAAAAAACATTGTATAAAATTTTATGAGTCATTAAAGTTATGAATAATTATTTAACATTATTATTGAATATTTATTCTCTTTGTTTATTAACAAATCGGTCAATTTTAACCTTCAATATTATAGAAATGTAGTACCAAATGACTCTCATGTATATTTTACAGGATTAGTTTTCTTTTTCCTTGAGAAAATTTGGTATGTACTGTACCTGATATATATCCAAAATAATCGATATTGAATCGAATCGCAAGCTTGTGAATGAGAATCGAATCGTGAAATTTGTGTCAAATCCCAGCCCTACTTATTATTATATAAGCAAAGTATATTTTCTGGAGAAGTAAATTGTCTTGAAAATGAGTCTTATTGTTGTTGACAATATTTGCTTCTCAAGTAAATTGATCTTTTAAGGAGGTTTATGTGCAGAACGAAAATGTCATTTTTGTGTGTTTTGGGGTTGGACCATTCATTTTGAACCAAAACATTAAGCTGAACTGTTTTGTACCTGCCCAGACGAGGTCATGATGTTCTCCGCAATCAGCTGCCAGCGAAAGAGGAGCACGTGATCCTGGTACGACTGTCTCGCCTGCAGAGGGCGCTCTATACGGAGTTCATGAACCGCTTCAGGGAGGCAGGAAACACCGGATGGCTTGGACTCAACCCGCTTAAAGCTTTCTGTGTTTGCTGCAAGGTACTTGCACATCAAAGACACATGTGTTGCTATATAGTAGTCAATGTGCTTATAACTCCTTTTTGTGCGTCCCCGTAGATCTGGAATCATCCGGACGTTTTGTACGAAACTCTGCAGAAGGAAAATCTGGCCAATGAGCAGGATCTTGACCTGGATGACCTCAACTCCACCAGCGGGACCCGCTGCTCTGCACCAGGAATAAAGGGCAAGTCATCCGACCCAGCCAACAGCAAGATGGCTGCTATGGGACCCCTGAACCCCTTACAGGAGAGGGCCAACCAAGTCATCACATATGAATGGGTAAAACTTTGCAACTAAGAATTAGTTAATTTTTGTAGGAACACAGTTAATTGAAATAAAACCGAAAACGCAATATGGTGTGATTATCAAATCACAAAGGCTGTGATTTAATTTAAGGGGTCATATGATGCGATTTCAAGTTTTCTTTTCTCTTTGGAGTGTTACAAGCTGTTTGTGAATAGATAAGATCCCTGAAGTTGCAAAGACTAAAGTCTCAAACCCAAAGAGATATTCTTTATAAAAGTTGAGACTCGTCCACCCCCTCCTAAAACGCCTAGAAATCAGTGGTTAAGTTGTATTTACAACACTGTTCCAGAACAGTTTAACCCAAATATTCAGATGTGTGCGGCGCATTTTACGGAGAACGAGGACTGTTTCCTGATCCTGGGAGAGTAGACTACAATGCCAGTGTTCTCATAAATAATGCTGACTCACAGCCTGTAAGTACGTTTTCATATTTAAAGGATTTGCCACTGATGATTCAAACGCGAGTTTTGAGCAGTGTAGAGTAGAGCTTGTTGTTTGTCATTTCTCCGATCACAAATGCAGACATGGTTTTATGTTTATGCGGCGCGATGCAACGTGTAAAAAGACAGTACGAGTCATTATAATCAGTAATTATGTCCCCACTGGATGCAACAAATGCCTAGTTTATAATGGGTTTGAATGTTTTTGTCTCGTCGCTCTGGGACACGGCATCACGGTATGGTAAGGGGTGTAACATTTCCGTCACACGCTTGAGGTATTCGGCCAATCACAACGCACTGGATAGCTGGCCAATCACAGCACACCTCGCTTTTCAGACCGATGAGCTTTGTAAAAATCGACGCGTTTCAGAAAGGTGGGGCATAGAGGAGCAACAATAATGTAAAGTATGTGGAAAATAATGTGTTTTTTTAACCTTAAACCACATTAACACATTCCATTACACCAAATACACCAAATAATTTTTTAGCAACGTCATATGACCGCTTTAAATGAATGTATGTGATGCATGTTTCAGAGTAAAGCGCAGCACTGTGTTGTTTTACATGTGTGTTGACCGGTGTTTTCAGTGGCTCGATTCGCAATACATTTTCTTCCCAAATTTGGTATGAACTTTGAATAGATTTTAGTTGCAAATGTTGTGGTCATGTGTTATTCATGATGTAATTTCTGCACATTTTGAACATATTTGAATGCTTTTTGAATAATTTGTTTTAGGCAAAAGACATCATGACCAACTACCAGACGGGTGTTCTGGAGAACTCGGCCAAGATGGTTCTGCTTTTCCACCTAATTGATGACAGTGTCAAAAGAGGAGATAAAATACTTGTTTTCAGGTGGGAAATGTTTACCTTTTCCATGTGTGACAGTGTACAGATGTTTGCCTTTTTCTGTAATCTCTCCTAAAGCATCCTGAACTGTCAACCATGCTGTAATTTTGCATTTACATCAGTGCTTACACTGGCTTATTTATCGGTGTGTGATTCTTGCAGTCAGAGTCTATCAACGCTCACGGTTATGGAAGAATTCCTGAGTCGGAGGCCCATGCCAATCCAAACAGAAACTGGGACACACAACTGGGTCCGGAATGTCAATTACTACAGTGAGTTTTCAAACATTTTCTGATGCCAAGGACCAGGGTTGTTAATGTTAACTAAAACTAAAACCATAAAAAAGGTCATTACTAAAATAAACGTTAACTGAAATAAAATAAAATGTTCAAAACGGCAGCTTATTTTATTTCAGCTAGTTGCTAAGGCAACATTTCTCATTTAATTTAATTTAAAGCACTAAAAAACGAAATAAACTCCGATTATAAACATTAATTTAAAAAGATTTAAAAAAACAGAAATTACAAAAATGCACAAAGTTTTCAGCTATATATTTTAAGACTTATTTACACTGTGAAAGAAATGGTAAGTGTGGTTATTAGAATTTTTAAAAGATAATTTAAGTGTTTTGAAATTTAATGTTTAAAAATTTGGGAAATAATAATAATAATTAATAATTCAAATATATTTGAAAAATAAAAAGACAGCTTTATTTTTAAACGCCTTGTTTATACTGTGTGAGAGAAATAAGTGTGATAAGTGTCTTATAATTTTAATTAATAATAATAGTAATATGTAATTTAAGTTATTTAAGCATTTTTAAACTTTATCTGTGATTAAATTATAATGTTTAATATATATAAATATCTGAAAACTATGAAAATAATAATTAGTGATTAAAATATTTTAGCAATACATCTCAAAAGGCATTTTCATAAATATTTGTCCAAAGAAACTTTTATTGTTTTTTGTTTAACTTTGTTTAATTTTTTCTACAGACCATTATTAAATGCATATTAATTAATCATTTTCATTTCTGCGTCCTATAGATCAACTCTGCCTGAGGTTTGTGGTGGTTTAGGTTATTTGTTCTTTGTAAATTCACTGCATTTTCATCTCTTGTGCAGGGTTGGATGGGAGCACATCGGCTTCAGAGAGAGAAAGACTCATCAACCAGTTTAATGACCCGGCGAACAACCAAACCTGGGTCTTCCTGCTGTCCACCAGGTGAACTTGAGTGCAAAATATGCCACAAATAGTGACAAAATGATGAGGTGTGGACTAACAGGCTGCTGTATTTGCAGGGCTGGTTGTTTGGGGGTGAATCTGATCGGTGCGAATCGCGTGGTGGTTTTCGACGCATCGTGGAATCCATGTCACGATGCTCAGGCTGTCTGTCGCGTGTATCGCTATGGCCAGCGCAAGCCTTGCCACATCTATAGGCTGGTGTGTGACTTCACACTGGAGAAGAAGATCTACGACCGGCAGGTGTCCAAGCAGGGCATGTCTGGTAAGAGAGGGTGGAAGGTCTGGGAGTTTTTGTGTCTTCATGTGAACACCGTTCTGACATTATAATTGCCTGTTGAACAGATCGAGTCGTGGATGATTTGAACCCTGTCCTCACCTTCACACGGAAGGAAGTGGATTCACTGTTGCACTTTGTAGAGGAGGAGCCTGGTCCCAGCCAATCAGAGCAGGTCCCTAGTGAGGACATAGAAATCGTCATTAAACAAGCCTGCCTGTTATATCCACACCTCTTAACCAAGGTAAATACTCTGTTTGTCTTCCACACCAGTTTTAAAATGTTACTATTTCAAACAAAATTCTGGGAGAGTGAATTCTATTCCACAAAATTCTGAATCATACGATTTGAAAGCTTAGCTCATGAATATTAATTAGGCATTTTTCTAAATCCAAACATTCTGCCCTAAGTCTGAATCCTACTATGGTTTAGGCTTAGCTTATGAATGGTAATTACTTTGTGTTTACATAGCTGTGCAAGTTTCTCTAATCCATCTCTAATCAAGTCCAGCTACTGTTGTACAAAGCCAGTTATTCAGGCAACATTTTGAATGCTACTATGGTGCAGGCTTTGTTTATGAGCATTAAGTCACTTTTGACATTGCTTTGTAGACTTCATGGAGCTCTCCGATTGCAATCATTTTACAAATTCAAAAATTCTGAATCCTTTTACAGTGTAGACTTGGCTTATGAATATTAATTAGGTTGTACCAACATAGCTCCGTAGCCTTCCTGGAGCGTTTAGTCATGTAAGCTCATTTCTATCTTTATTCCACATAAGGAACTGTTGGCCAAATGAAGCTGTTCTGGTAAAATTCTGTATCCTAATATTGCGTAAGCTTAGCTCATGAATATTAATTAGTTTCCATTCTGGAGCGTCCAGTCATGTAACATAATATCTATCTGTGTTATACACCAACTATTTAGTCTCCAAATCAAGCTATTCTGGCAAAATTATGAATCCTACTGGTGTGAGCTCATGAATATTAATTGGGTAGAGCTTACGTTTCTTCATAACCTTACTGAAACATCCAATCATGTAACATAATATCTCTATCTGTATTATACATCAGCTGTTTAGTGCCCAAATTAAGGTATTCTGGCAAAATGATCAATCCTACTTTGGTGTGAGCTTATGAATATTAAGTAATGATTACGTTCCTTCATAACCTTACTGGAGCATCCCGTCAAGTTTATCAGAATTTCATACAAACAAACATTTATAAATTGGAATGTTTCAGACAAATTCTAAATCCTACAATGGTGAAGGTTTAACTTAGGAATATTAATAAGATTAAGTAATTAGAGTGCTAATATTCCTTTCTAGGTCATTCAGTCGCCTATGCTAATATCTGTCTGTTTTCCATACCAGCAACCGTTCCATCACGAGTCTCTCCTGATGGACCGCAAGGATTCGAAACTGACCAAAGCGGAAAAGAGAGCAGCCAAGAAAAGCTATGAAGACGAGAAGCGGGCGTCTGTGCCATATCAGCGGCCCTCTTACGCACATTACTACCCAGCTAGTGACCAGAGACTCACCAATATTCCCGCCTTCAGCCAGAGGAACTGGTGGGTCCACCACAGAAAACCCTCAATGTATTGCCTTTCAGTTTTAAAATGTGTTTGCTCATCTAAACCTTTCGTTCAGGCGGCCCCCTCCTCATTTAGAAGAGAAACCAGTTGCGAGTGTGAGGCCAGTTCAGTCCACACCCATTCCCATGATGCCCCGACAGGTACCCATGAGTGTCCCCAGTTCAAGCGCGGGATTCCCCGTCAACTACCTGCAAAAGGCTGGCGTTTACGTGCAGCGCATCGTCACCACCACTGGTACAGACGGTTCACTTGTAATCCGTGCTATTTCTTGCTATGTTTAAGGTCTCCCAGTTTGTTTCTTCATGGTTTTATATCTCTGCATTGCAGATATTGTGATCCCAGGTTCAAACAGCAGCACGGATGTCCAAGCCCGGATCGGTGCAGGAGAGAGTATTCACGTTATCAGAGGATCCAAAGGTACCTCAGTTTCAGAAGACTGTTGCAAGGGTTTCCTGTTCACTGGGAGTTGGTAAGGTTTATTCACTTAATATTCTGTCACTGGCGTTGCAGGCACATACATCAGGACCAACGATGGGAGGATATTTGCCATCCGTTCTGGAAAATCAAGACCACCCGAAGGAGGAGCCACAGCTTCAAGAGGTGTGCTAATTTACTAATTTGTTAATTAGCAGTTCTTAGCAGTCTGGCATAATCTTGAGGGAAAAAAGACTAAATTTTATAGACTTTTATTGCATTTCAAAGTCGAATTTTTCGGAAGTCATTTTTTTGCTGACATAAAGATAATGGTGAAACAAACCAGATGTCAGTAGTACCATTGTCTTTGCAGTTGAGGATATGCTATGCAATACTCTTTCTATTTTCCAAGTAGGAATGTCTGGAAATTCTTACTTGAAGCGCAGTATAATTTTGCACAGTTCATCAGTGCATGTTTTTCCAAAGATAAAAGCTCTTGCTTTAAAGACTATCCTTTTTGGGCCTCTGTTTCAAGTGATCTAGAGGTCTGCATGGGACGGATGTCTGTCCTGTTCCAGCCATTAAAAGCCCACTGATAGAGGTAGAGGCAAAAGGAAGGTGCTTTTCTCAATTGAGAATATCAAAAACTTCACCTGAAACTGTTCATCTTTCCTACCAAACCCACACTCATTATTTCAAAACTTAGCCTCATAGTGGCATAGCCTCAGTAGTCCCAGGAGTGTACAGACCTGTACCTTGATCAAGACCACAGTTTTGATTGTTGATGGATTAACCCTTTACTGGGGTTTGACTGTACAATCTTTCGGTGACCATCCCAGATCTTTACCAAGTAGTCTACACCGACATAAACTAACAAAATATTTTTCTTTCTCACAGAGGAATTGGGCTCTCCCTTGCATTCTGTCAGTAATGGTCGTGCATCTCCTCAGGAGCCGAAACGTTTAACCCCTGAGGCTCCGCCTCACCCTTCGCCCCAAGACAGCCCCAAGCTGCTCCGAGAATTCCAGAGCAACAAGGACCCGGTTCCTGTGGGAGAGAACTTACCATCTTTAGCAACACCCGAAACCTTGGGAGCAGATAGATCCATCCAGAACCCAGTTCGCATCCCTGACCAACACCGGCAGCTCAGCAATGACACTGCATCGTCTGTGGATGTTCAAAGTTTGAAACGTAAGCTTACGGAAAGTCGGACATCCAAACAGCCTAGCACCAAACGGACCTCAACGTCAACCAGTGCAGTCGGGAGTTACTCTGGGTTTCCTTTAAGCCCCGGGTTTGGGTTCCCACCTATGGGGCTGAACCCTGCCTTGTTGGGTGCCCTGGGTCACATGACTCCCCCCTCTCTTGGAAGCAGGTCGCACCTCCTACAGCAAGCTGGTCAGGCTCTGGGTGACCTTCATGCCATGTTTCCCACTGACCCACTCGGACTTGGTGTGTCCAACAGCACTCTTTCCTCGACCTGCTCGACCAACACCACATCCTCCACCCATGTTGGAATGCTGGCCTCTTCTTCATCCTCTGTGCCCTCTTCATCATCGTCCTCCACTTCATCTTCGCTCCCACCCTTCTTCATGAACCCCAGCATGGCAAGCATGCTCTCCGGCTTCCCAGTACCATTTTCCCAGCCGCTGTTCCGGGATTCCCTACTACCTAGAGGCCTGTCCTCTATGCCAACCCCTGCCTCCACTGCCTCCAATTTTCTCTCTTCCTCCAGGCTTTTGGGGGCAGCGTTCAACCGCCCCAACACTTACCCCTCACTCACAGAAAACGGCGGGAGCAGCTCGGATGACGATGTCATAGAGGTGATGGGCCAGTGATCGCAGTGATTGGCTGCCTTGGATTCCGTTGTTCCAAATAGAAGAATCAGATTGAATGGAGCTGAAATTATGTAAATCCAAATGCTGAATATGCATGGGGTTAAGAAAGGCGATATATATTTTTCTTTACCATAAGGGACCAGAGCACAGGGCTAACTTGAAGAGCCCTAGTCGTATCTCTCTCGCAAAGGGTCAGGACACAGACCTGACAAATTCCCTCGGAGTGAATGCTAATCCGAACTTAAATGTAATTGTCTTTACAGACTGTTTGCATTCATAAGAGATGACTTTAGAGATACTTAGCCGTTTGCTAGACCTTGTAGCATCACCTGGAATGATAAACGAGAAAAACATGTGTGACCTTTTTTATTATAATTGTAAGTACTACTATTACTTTTGTATACGGTGGTCCTACATGAATATTAATATTCGTTTCAAATCGCAGACTGGGCAGCGGGGGGAATTCGTAACAGTCGAATCGCAAAGCAACAGAAGCCATGCCAAGCGTTAGCACCGCCGAGACCTTTTTGCTTTCCTTCGGGGGAAAAAAAAAAATGACAAGGAAAACCTTAAACTCGAATGTATTTTCATGTTAGCCTTTAAAATTTGGTGGAGGGACGTAAGTTTAGTGCATTTAGTTCAATATTAGCCTTAAAGCAGACAAATGGATCTGTGTTCTCTTTCAATTGCGTAGCAAACAAAATCATCCGTTGTTCTCCATGGGGATCATCTTATGAATGTGTAGACTGTTATGCGACCATATTAGCCGTTGTTTTTTAAAATTTGCGCTTCGGCTCATCTGCCCGCTCGTTCAGTTTCATCCGTGTTGGGGCCATAGTCATGACCAAAGTGTTCGTTTGGCCGTTTCGAAGAATCTCGGTGTGTTAAACGTTTGTGTTAATGTTGACTCATTCGCGCGCTGGTTGACCTGTGACTGACAAATTCCTCCGCCAATAACACTGTTCATTCTCTGTGCCTATTAGAGCTCTTTATTTTGACTCCTCCCATGGTCTGCTTTCTGATTGGCAGATATCCACTTCATGATCTTTGGCCTGAGTCTGCAGACGCTGTTATATCAATATAATGGTGTGCATTTGACATGTGATTATATCTTCTTTTTTTTTGTTGTTATTTGAATCTTTGTTTTGTAACATCTTATGGCACACCTATGTATTAGTTTTGTTTTCTCTTTTAACTATGTACAAATTTACCAGAAATATTTATTTATAATGCTGAAGAGTAATTCATTTTCATTATTTTTATTTTTATACATTTTCAACCTTTTTTTAAGAAGGAAAAAAATCCCTCTAACAGAGAGACGCAGGGTTTCTTTCCCTCATAGGTGAGTTCAAGACCATGATCTGTGAGCGATTCAGCAGTCGGGACCCGCAAACACATGTGATCACATACAGGTGCTGTCCTGGGAGGTGTCCACACGTCATCTCATGTTCCCAGCATGGGGAGGAGTACAAATGACATTGTATTTATTAAATATTGTTTTAACATAAATAAACCTGACTCCTCCTGTATTCAGAATAATGGTTCACACAGTGTCGTGTATACAGTGTTGGGAAGGTTACTTTGGAAATGTAATAGGTTACAGATTACAAGTTACCCTATTTAAAATGTAATAGTAGTGCAACTTTTTCAATTACTTTAATAAAGTAATGTAACTGATTACTTTTCTAAATTTCTAATGAATGTTTATTTGCGACAGATAATCATTTTCAAACATTTACACCATGCAGGGTTAACCTTACAGTAGTGCTCAACTCTGTCAGACTTTCAAAATCCTTCTTCACTTGAATTAAGATGATCAAATTTGAACACATCCACCACAAAAAACTTTAGTACCGCCTTTTACTTTGAGATTGATCTGAAGTTCAATGCCGATTTTAAATCATAAGAAATAGTTGCAGGAAACACTGAATCTAACGATGGTTTGGAAAAAATAGTTAATTAAAAAATAATAAAAGCAAATACGGTTATCTAATAAGCATGTGTCCTATTCTGTGTACTAAACTCCTGAAACATTGGTTTCTCTTTGTATATGATATGATGATATTGTTCTCAAAATAAGTTAAATGCTCATGAAGTGACTCAGAGCAGTTCTAGAGATTGTTTATGTGTTCATGTACTCATATATTGAGGCGGCAGAGGCTGAAAACAACGCAAGCTTCAGTAGGCCTATGTGTAGTAAATGAAACCGTGTGTCTGCACCATTAATTTCCACGAGGGGTGGACTGGGAAAACATTTCAGGCCTGGACATCTCACACTCATACACCCACAACAAATTGTGAAACATGGACAACCCTATTTTTTTGTATGTGTACCTCACATGAAAAAAGGTTTAAATCCTTAGGTTGGGGACATGCAAAATAATTTAAGTTCTCTCCTGAACTGCACCTTCTCTTCCATTTTTCTTTTCAGTCTCTTTATTTTGCCCTGATATCTCTCTCTCTCATGACTTTAATACTCAAGATTTAACAAAACTATACTTTCTAAATTGCCTACATGTCAAAATTAGTACATCACTACAATATCTTTATAGAAAAATCCTAATACTGAACACGAGTCAAGTTTTTTCTTTACAAAAATTAACCATGCTTTTATTATAGTAAAAGTACTGTAACCAAAAAATTTTTTTTTATGGCAAATGGATTACCATTTGTGTTTATTTTTACTACAAATTCCATGTTTAAACTATGGTTAGTGTAGCAAAAACCATGGTTAATTTGTGGTTACCATGGTTTAACAATAGTAACCATTGTCTTTGGATTTATAGTAAAATCATCGTTAATTTTCGTTAGGGTTGTGTTGTTGTCTGCCCTAGTTCCCCCTAAACCTATTATAAAATATGATTATTTGTCTGCTAAATTACTACTGTAACATTACAATAGATGATGTCCTTTATACAGTATTTTGAGTGATGACTGATGAGCATTGGGCTGTGCAGGATTCATATATTGTCTTTTTGCGGCTTAATATTCAGACACTAGTCCATGGCGAGTTTTGATTCAAGTGCACTGACATACTTTTGATTTATTCGTCCAAAATATGGCATATTCCATCCGCGTTAGGCTATAGGACTTCCGTTTTCATGACTGGATTCTACGCACCAGTCTGTGTTTTCCTCGTCGCGGAAATTATAGGACCGAATGTCTCAGAGTAATTAGTGCAATTTGAGAAAGAAATCAATTAAATCTGTATGTGGATGTGTGTAAATATTCAAATGTAATACCCTTTGTAATCGTTAACATTTTCATACGTAACTAATTTAATTACAGTTTTTCTTAGTAACTGTAAGTGATTACAGTTACATTTATTTTGTAATTAAATTACTTAACGCCGTTACATGTAACTAGTTACTCCCCAACACTGTTTATATATATATATAGTATATTTTATGCATGATGTGCAACAGTTTAATAGAAGAGAAAAGGGGTGACTTACATTGTAAACGTGTAAATAGTGTAAAGTGTTCAGACTTGGTAATTTAAAAATAATCTACATAATATATAATCATTTATTCATATAAAGTAGGCATTAAAAACATGATCTGCAAGTTCAAATGTTGTACATTTTAACAAAAAAAAAAGTTAAGAAATACTTGTTGCTTACAGCTTGAATATATTACTATTATTTTAATAATGTATAATATTTGTAGATTTTCAAGTAATGAAAATAGCTTTCATATATGATCTGTAATTGAACAGAAAAATATTTTGTGCTTATAATAATTCTATCAAAAACTATGATCTCTGCCGTTAAGAAATATTTGTTGCTTACAACTTTAATATATTAGAATTATATCTCACTTTATGTTTAATAATAATATAAATGTAAATTCAAGTAAAAAAAAAAGTTTTCATACACGATCTAGAATTTTTTTAACTGAACAGAAAAATATTTTGTGGAACATTAAGAAACCTTTGTTACTTAAGATATTACTATAATAATAATATAAACATTTTCAATTAAAGTAAAAAGGCATAAATGTTTTCTTGCATGATCTGCAATTGTTTAATTGAATAGAAAAGGGCAGACTGGCACTGATAAATGCAAAAAAAAAAAAAGCATAAACATCAAAACAATAACAATTTAATAAGAAAAAAGAGTTGCCTTCAGTCATTTCCAAAGATATTTGCACCAAATACATGCTATCAACACCACTGAAATGCATCGAAGAATATAAACCTGTTATAAAAATACTTTTTTTTTTTTTTTTTAAAGAACATTTACATAATTAACAATAAAATTAGCTCAGTAACTTGCAATTCTGGTCCACTTAAGAGTTCACAATGTCTGTATCACTTCAGATGAACCTTGAATGTCTGTTTCAGTACTGCATTGGTTTGCGGGCCATGTAAGCATTCGTTACCTGACTCATAATGACCAGAGCGCACAGAACGGGACAGAGGACAGCCAGGTACCAGACGTACCCGCTCACGCTGCTGCTAAACCACGCCGAACACAGTCCGAGGAACAAGCTCAAACTGCCCAGCAGGTATGTGAGTAAACCGGAGGCGGCGTGGTAGCGCTTCAGTTTAGCCAGCGACCAGCCTTTGGCGAGTTTGGGATAGAGGAGCGGAAGTCCTCCGAGCGACTGCAGCCCGACGACAGCGACCGTTAAAACTCCTATCAACCCGTGCCATGTGCTGAAGTGAGGCTTGTCGTTGAGGTTTTTGTTGTAAAAGATGGCACCCAGACCTGCAGCCGCGCAGCAAACACACAAACCCTGCAGGATCCAATGCAGGCGGCCTTTAGTTTTGTGCTTCAGCTTCTTGATGGGAGAGGAATACGGGTTGAAGAGCAGAACGGCTTCAGTCATGAAGAAGGAGAACTGGAGGATGGGGGGAAAACACAGAAAATCAAACTTGATCTATGTGCAAAACATAAAAAGTCCTGTGGGCAGTTTAGTGTCAAACTCACAGCGAGAGTCATCAGAAACGGATGCCATGAGAACAGACCTGTGAACAAACACAGCATGATTTATACACCATTACAGTATTTATTCATATTTTGAATTAGCTTTTATTGTTATATTCTCATTTTACTTTTAAAGTTTTAGTAATTTTGTTACGTTCTTTTGTCATTTTTATTTGTATTATATTTGTAGTTAGCTTTTGATTTATTTTTATTTCAGGTTTAGTTACAGTCATTTTAGTACTATAAACATATTTCAGTTAGTTTCCAAGGTAACATTTCTAAGTGTTTTTATCTAATGTTTAGATTTTTTTCAGCTTTGTTTCAATTACTGAAAATGATTTTTAATAGTTTTATTCAAAATAACAACACTGACATAGAGACACCATGAGCCTCACACCCAGAAATAAGGCATTTAATTCTTTATTTATCCATTCATTCATTTGACATCATTATATTGTTTGGAGATCATTATTTTAATATATTATTTTAATTTTTTGTATATACTTAAAATTAATTGTTATAACAATAGTAATTTGTGTATTATCACCAAAACGATATTACAAACATTTGATAATATTAATATTGTAAAATGGCATATTGTTAATTTTGTTATTACTATTAGTGTATTATAATATTATAATTAGTGCTGTCAAACGATTAATCGCGATTAATCACATTCAACACACACACATATGCATGTATATATTTAAGAAAAATGTTATATTTCTATATTAAATATATTTATATATAATATAAATTATATAAATATATACATGTAAATATTTACAAAATATATTCTGTATGTGTGTGTATTTATATATATATATATATATATATTACATAAATAAAAGCTTTTATTTTGGAAGCGATTAATCGCGATTAATCGTTTGATAGCACTAATTATAATAAATATACATAGTGAAGTATACATATATAAACATACAAATAAATGAAAATATAAATATTGTATTATAGGCCTAGTTCATAATATAGTTTGATATAGTTCATAAAATTTTTTATAAATAAGATGTTATTTTATTATCGGTAGCGAATTTTTATAATAATCAACATTATACTACTACTTTTATTATTACACAAAATAATATACACAATAAACAGAGAGAGTTGGTTGTATCAATATTTTCATTACATTACATAATACATTTATATAAGTGTTGTAATGTATTATTATATGCTAGTGTTTATACTATATGTATCCTTTTAGATTTATATGAAGTTATTAGTCTTTTGTGCATACAAACATTACATTTTTTCATTTATATGTATACAATTGATAGGATATTAAGATATATTATTAATATTTTATACTTTTATTGAATTATTTTTAAAATAAAAAAGTTCTATTTTTGGCAAATATAAAAGCCTTTTCACACCAAAATTGAAATGAATAAGCCTCAGGCTGAAGGGAAAGTAAATGTACATCCGTACAGTAGAATGCAGAAGAAGAAATTACAACACACTTCAGCAATAAACAAAAACACACAAATGTTTGTCTAGAGTAATTTTTGCCTATTAGTACGGTTGAACTGGATCATCGAAGGGCAGAAGCAAATAGAATGGGATTAAATACATAAAGCATATTTGTGTTGTTTAACATTTAATTATTGCAGGTTTGCGTCATATTCTGAGTTGCATTATTTTTATGCATTTTGAGGAATGCTGAATCTGTGTGTTTTCTTTTATTGTGAGTGAGATGAATTAATGCATATTCATATTTATTTTAGAACTACAGTAACATCTTCTGATTTCTCTCAACATGGGGACAGGAGAGCTGTCAATCAATAAATTGGGAAAAAAAAGTAACTTGTGTTACTTATTTGAAAAAGTATCTCCGATATTCTCTTGTAAATTGTAAATCTTTTTTTTTGTCGTTTTCATTTAAATGTTTTAGTTTTGAAATGTTGTAGTATGCACTTGTCATTTTTATTTAATTTCTTTTATTTTCTTAAAAGCTTTTAGCTTTTAGTTTGAATTACTTTTTCTTATTTGTGTATGTTTGAATTGTTTTTAGCTTTATTTTTTTGTTTTCATTTAAATGTTTTAGTTTTGAAATGTTGTTGTATGCATTTATCATTTTTATTTTTTATTTAATTTATTTTATTTTCTTAAATGTGTGTATATATATATATATAGTATTTTTTTGAGTTTTAGCTTTTAGTTTTAATGACTTTTTCTTATTTGTAAGTCGCTTTGGATAAAAGCGTCTGCTAAATCACTAAAAGTAAAAGTAACGTTACTTTACTAGTTACTTGAAAGAAGTAATCCGATTACGTAACGCGCGTTACTTGTAATGCGTTACCCGCAGCACTGCTCGTGAGTGCTGAGTGCTGCTCTTCGCTGTACTCACTGGATCCCGGTCTGCTCAGTACAGTGATGAAGCCGCTGAAGAGCGCGCACAGCACATGAGTGAAGACGCCGCACACCGTCCTGCTGTAGCGGTACAGTTTAGGCTCCGACTCGTGACGGACGCTCATGCTCTATTTCTACTCTCAAATGTACACAATACAGCTCATTTACACACATATACAACCAAACCGCAGCGCAGACCCCTTTGAGCTACTCTCAATCTCAACTAGGAACTCTCGATTCTTTGAAGGTTTCCGGTTACAAACCCGCCTGTCAAAATAAAAGTCTCTTCTCGTATTCAGGCGTTGTGACAAAATATAAATATAAATAATATAAAATATAAATAATAATTGCTTATTTTCACTACTGTAAATTATAATCAATATAAAAACATGATATTATATTATATAACATATATTAAAATTATATAAGAATCTGTTTTCTCTTCCTGCTGGAAGTAATGTCTTTTATCTTGGTGATGATTGTAAATAATTTCTTCCAGATTGCCTCTGTTCTAGAAATTGCTTTGCTCATGCTGACGTGGGATTTGATGTTTACATGCATGAGTTTCCATCGTGTGACCTGCAGGGATCACAGTGGATTTTTCTTTTTCAGATTCTGCAAATAATCAAATCCTTCACAGTTCACTGTTATTTGTGTCAGTGCAGATTTTACCAGAAGTGAGACCCATTTTTTCCTCATTATTAAAATGTAATAAAACAGTACAATTGTATTTTGAGAAAATAGGTTTATTTATTTAGGCCTATTTAGTGATTGATTGATTGTAACTCTAACTCTAGCACTCGCTATTCTAATTCTATTCTTTATTAATAAAAATAAAATAAATAACACTTGCTTCTCTAATCTTTTTGCATTCTATCTGTTTGTTTTCTTTTTATTTATTACACGATTATAATTCTGACTTTCTGACTTATGATTAACAAAAGCAAAAAAGGCCTCTAACACTAGCTTGCTCTATCCTTTTTCTATTCTATCTGTTTTCTTTTTATTTATTATATGATTTTTTTTAAAACTTGCTACGTGTACTGCGTTAAGCTAACTGAGACTTGTTATAGCACTTGCGTATTATTGCTCTTTTGTTGATTTTGATTGCTTCTGTTGTCCTCATTTGTATTTGGATTGATTGACTGATTATATATTTTTTTCTTTGATGTTTCCTCCTGTAAAGTTTTGTATTTGTATTTAGATTTAATATTTTTTATTTTATTTTTAGATTATTATTATTTTTCCTGTTTATAAATACTGGGGTCAGTAATGTTTTTGGTTTTAAAAGTATGTTAACTTCATAATGAAAATGTGAAAGATGTACTAGTTTACTTGATGGTCACACCACTTTTATTTTAGAGTAATTCAATCACAGTTTCACTGTGAAACAAATATACTTTATGAATAATAATAATAATAAAACAAACATCTTGGCATTGACCCATGCATATACTAATGACAAATGAAACAGTTTATATTCTTGATTAAAGTCTCAATAACTGCATATTGGACATTGTTCTGAAACAAAATATTGCAGATTTGCCACTAATATAGTTACAGCCATATATCGGGGAGAACAGCAGAGTTTGTTCAGTGAAATGTCATGAAAATGACATCCAATGACCGTAACAAAATCAGACATTCACGACCAATTACTGAATTCCTGTGTCCTGTGACCCGCTGGCCCCCATCCAGACTGAACGGAGGACAGAAACCTCCTTATCTCCTCCTGTGGGTCTCCAGGCCTAAAAAAGAGAACTACATCAAGCCTATGGACGTCTGCCAGCTCCTAGTGTGCAGCAAGGTAAGTGCACTAGATTTCCATGTAGTCACTGCACTGAAAGTTTCACATGTGAAAATGGGAACTGATCTTCTAAATTGCAGTTCTTTCTGTTTCTAAAGGTTATTTCCAGCACGTATGCATAATTCCAGAGCAATATTCTGAAGAACTGTCAAATGCGACTTAAAATTCAGTCTGTTCCTTACACAAAACTAGCATGCTCTTAGAATATATACCATACCAGTTATATGGAGCACTTTTATGGCAAAGAGCTGCGTTACATTTACATTTAGTCATTTAGCAGACGCTTTTATCCAAAGCGACTTACAAATGAGGACAATAGAAGCAGTCAAAACTATACAATATATAAGTGCAAACGTTACGAATCTTGTTTTAGTTCCTCAGAGGAAAGAATGATGTGAGAGTGAATCATTTTTGGCTGCTCTGTCCCTTTAAGAACGAGTTTTAATTTCAAACAAGGTTATTGTAAATAGACCCACACTGGCGGAGGTTCGCAGTATTAGACCCGAGGGTCCACCAAACGCTTCAGGAAGTGATGTCTGCTCTGCCTTCGCTGTATCTAGGACAGACCGCACCGGATTAAGCGTTAATCTGAGTGTGCGGCGCATGCGCACAAACGCGCACTGGCGGTCGCGCTGGACAAGGTGCGCGTTCGGAGGAGAAACAGATCGAGCCGGTTGCGAGCTGCGACCGCGAAGCACGAGGAAACACCTGAGTCTTGCTGCCGGTGGAGGATCATTCTTTCTGTAGCTCTGAGCGGAATGTAAGACGTTTTCTCGGTTTTGCGCAATCACTTGCGTTATCTGCACGCAAAACCAAGAGCGGATTTGAGACATCGGACGCGTTTACCGTCAATCTGACAGCTTTGACCATTAAAAGTGTTTAAGGTATGTTCGCCTTCTTAAACAGTTACTACAAGGGGTCCAAATACGAGTGATCTGACTTGAACAGATGTACTTTCTGAAGTTTATAGGCTTTTTTTCCAATGACGTCAAATTGCTAATCTAATCTGTAAGAGATTATTTCATTATATTTGTCTGCAATTAATGCTACACAGTTTCACATTAGTTAATTTTTATCAGGTTGTTGTATTAAGTTATAATTTCTAGTATTTATGCATTTATTTAGCCTATTTATTTATGCGTTTATGTATTGTCTTACCCTGTTTATTTATTTTCTGTATTGTTGTATTCTATTCTCTTGATTTATTTCGTTTATCTATGCATTAAATGCATTTGAAGTCACATTTTAACATCTAGTCTGTATTCTGTTAATTCATTAATTAAATCAAAAGCATTTATTAATTTATTTATCATTTTTAAACTTGCATTTATAGATTTACGTTTATGTAGTTTACATAAATTACACATTTATTGGTGCATTTATTTACTGTGCGTTATTTCCCCAAAGTAATTTGCCAGTTGCACGTGCTTTGAAATCTTTATCTGGTATTCTATTCTATTCTACACTTAACTATATCTGACTATTTTATGTGTCATTTATTTGCTATTCTTTTGTGACCCAGTTTTACGCCTCTCTCTGTTCTGGTTGGTTGTTCGGGCTGTTCTCTGGATTAGGACATTAGCCAAAAGAGGTGCCCTACAAACAGTTACTACAAGGGGTCCAAATACGAGTGATCTGACTTGAACAGATGTACTTTCTGAAGTTTATAGGCTTTTTTTTCCAATGACGTCAAATTGCTAATCTAATCTGTAAGAGATTATTTCATTATATTTGTCTGCAATTAATGCTACACAGTTTCACATTAGTTAATTTTTATCAGGTTGTTGTATTAAGTTATAATTTCTAGTATTTATGCATTTATTTAGCCTATTTATTTATGCGTTTATGTATTGTCTTACCCTGTTTATTTATTTTCTGTATTGTTGTATTCTATTCTCTTGATTTATTTCGTTTATCTATGCATTAAATGCATTTGAAGTCACATTTTAACATCTAGTCTGTATTCTGTTAATTCATTAATTAAATCAAAAGCATTTATTAATTTATTTATCATTTTTAAACTTGCATTTATAGATTTACGTTTATGTAGTTTACATAAATTACACATTTATTGGTGCATTTATTTACTGTGCGTTATTTCCCAAAGTAATTTGCCAGTTGCACGTGCTTTGAAATCTTTATCTGGTATTCTATTCTATTCTACACTTAACTATATCTGACTATTTTATGTGTCATTTATTTGCTATTCTTTTGTGACCCAGTTTTACGCCTCTCTCTGTTCTGGTTGGTTGTTCGGGCTGTTCTCTGGATTAGGACATTAGCCAAAAGAGGTGCCCTACAACAAAAAATGGTCTAAAACACCCTTGAGCGCAATTTCCCTCCTCACGCATACTGATCAGCCTCCAGAAAGATGTTGTCAAGCGGTTCTGTAAAGGACAGATTTGTTTGCACAAAGCCGCTGGAATGTTAAATCCCCATATATTCCCATTTGTAGACTTTCTGCCTGATGTTTAAAGAAGCTCTTACCCTATACATACTAAACATTTAATTCTGTTCAACAAATATTAGGGTCCTCACCCTTGATAAATATATATATATATATATATATATATATATATATATATATATATATATATATATATAATGATAGTAAAACCCATGAATGGAGTTCTTTGAAGATCAGAGATATTATAACTGTCCACATTTGCTGTAATCATACAGCACCACAATATAGCATAATCTAATCTAATCTCTGTTGTTTTTCCTCAGATTGAGCCAGATGCTGCTGAAAACTGAACTAAGAGGACATCTTTCTGAAAACTCGCCAGAAAACATCATCTCTTTTGTGTTAAGACTGTAGGATCGACAAAATTATCCATGTTTGTTCTTAGCCTGGATATGCAAACACATCAGAATTTGAAGTCTGTGGGCCTGGTTTGGAGTAAACATGGTCGCTCTGATGTGGTCTGAAGTTATAAATCATCTCCCATGACGTACATGAGCCATGCTTTTCAGCCTCTCGCATTCCCAAGATGGCAAAATGTGAATTTATTGAATTGCAGGACTTGACTCCAGATGACCGCATCGAGTTAGCGCCCCCTCTGTCCCGCGCAGGACCCACTCTGGAAAGGTGGAGCAAAGAGAAGGTGGTGCGGATGGTGGGGGAGCGCGTGCGTCTGGAGGACCCCGACTGGCTGACGTGTAAACCGGGCCAGGGACACGACTTCCAGCCCTGCAGCCAGACACAGCTCAGCTGGTGCGACCTCTGCGGGGAGTTCATCTGGGGCCTGTACCGCCAGAGCCTCCGCTGCACACGTGAGTCATTTCTGTGTGCGGTACGAGATAATCGAGACCATTTCCACAGGGGTATCTGTCTTCTGCTACTGTCAAGACAATCTGACCCTCAGAGAACGTAAGCCAATAGGAAAAGGATGTTTAGACGGGAAATGGACAGTTTAGACAGCGTTTCTTGTTGGATAGAGATTGTGTGGGTG